TATGGACACATGGTATATATATATTGTCATGTGTATAGTCTGTTTTGGTTCTGTTCTCATTTGCCTGTGTTCCTGCTTAGTCTCCTTGGTTGATAATTAGTTCTCCACACCTGTTTTGTTTCTATTTTTATTATCCAATTTATATATAAGTCCTGAGTTCTCCTTAGTTCTTTGTCAATGTTTTATTTGGTTGTGTTTCTGTGACTTCTGATAGCACACCAAGTGGCAGATGACATATATATATTAGGGCTGTCAGTCAATTAAATTTTTTAATCTAATTAATTACATGATTAAATTAAAATTTGGCTGTGAAAATTCCCACAAAAGATTATTTAAAGCGATCATTGTGTTAAATGAAAAAGTATCAAGTAGACATTACAAAGAGTAGCTTTAGAAAGAAATATTTTATTTGATTCAACATGAAATTTATTACACATAAATGTTTAGGCTACAACGACCTAACATAAACTATGGAACATAAAAGAAGGTAATTTCAGAAACTTCTCAGTATTTTTATTTTATTTTTTTCATGCAATGAAAGTAATTGGTAACCAAAATAGCTTTGTTACCAAGAGTCTTCAAAATACCTTCTTTTGTGTTTCGCAAAAGAAAGTCATTCAGGATTGAAACGACATGAGGGTGAGTAAATGAAGACTATTCCTTTAAGGTCTTTTTTGTTTTGTTTTTTAATAAAATTGTACTCTAAATAAGAAACTAAAACCAGCTGGTGGCTTTAAATGTCTTTATGAGTCATTCATTCATTTGATTCGTTCAAACGGCTGATTCATTCAGGAATTAAGTAAACGTCTCTCTCTATCAATGGGCATTTAAATCATTGGTTCACACGATTCTTTCAAAACGAGGATTCATTCAGAAACTAACCGCGCTGCTCGGAGACGCACAACAATATATGGCTTTATAGGTAATATTTTTGTTGGCAAAATTGAGCAAAAACTAGGGGTTGAACGAAGCAGTTGGCATGTTTGCTAAAAGCATGGCAGAGGGTGATATGGGAACTACTAGGAGCTCCGAATAAATGCTCTCTACCTATTGTTGAATTCAATTTGTGCTGCAAGTGAAATGGATACAGGTATGAACGCCTTCCTCGGTTTCTGGACCTTTCTGACCACATTGCTGTGTAGGGGGCTAAGAAAATAAAATACACAAATAAAGTACACTTCTCAAATATCTTGAACCTCTACCTTCAGGGAGGAGGTAAATAATTCCACCTCTCAAAAACAAATTACAAAGGCATTTTTTCATTCCCGTAGCTGTAAGCCTAATAAGGACAATGCTTGACTCTGTGAGGGAAGGTGCATTGTGGGGTTACTGAGTGCATATTGTCAGTCCTGATTTAATGATGCTATATTATTAAGACTAAATTATGGTTTGTCTAGTATTTGTCTTATTACTTATAATGTGCAATAAGTGGTATTGTATTTATCATGTTATAGATTTATACTGTCATTTTAACTTTATAAAACGAGGGTTCATTCAGAAACTAAACACCACCGCGCTTTCAGAGTATGCATTTATTTGTCATTTTAACTTTTTGGAAACTGAGCGTAAATGTGGAAGTCCTTCAAAGATTTCTTATCCTGTAGCGCCCTCTATAGGACCAGCGCCTAGTCGACGTCAAGCTTAAAGCGTCATGGCAGAGCATTGAAGTAGACTAGTCGATTAGTCGGTGCAAACCCTAGCAAAAACAAACAATATTGTGTTTAAAATATAACATAATTTTAACTTCTTATTTACTGAACTGTTGTATAAAATCATATTTAAACTCCTGATATTCGTGCAGAAACAGCACTCGTGTGTAGGGTTTCTGTTTTTTGAAAAGAACCGGAACCTTGAGCTATTTCTAAGTTTCGGTTCCGAAAACGGTTCTGGTGCGACACGTGACCAAGCGCTGTGAGCAGTCTTGCGCCGGCGTTTCCCGTAAAGGATGTCACAAACTAAATAACAGAAACGCCGCCCTGCCTCTTTAATTACTGAGCACATTGCTTCCCATGACGCGCACTCCACAGATGCGCCGCGCCGCGTCTTTAACTGCCGAACACATCGTTTTCCACGATTCGCGTCTTTGATAACTGTGCACGTTGTTTTGTCTCACTGTACACGTACCGGCAGCGCGCAGCTCCTGCCGCCACTAAATTACTATTATATTACATATATTATATTTGTCCCATATTGTCATTAATATACATACTGACTTCAACTTGGACCACTAGATTATTTAGTGTACAGGTCATTTCAAGAGTGATAAACAAAGTGATAGAACATATTTATTTTCATGCATTTTAAATGTTTAAAAATGTGGAAACCACTCATTGCATCACACCATCTCCTGACTGCATTATTATTTGTAAAATTGGGGCTTTATGGAGTGTGTGTACACATGGTTATAAGTATAACAGGTAATATTTCATTAATTTAGGGAAATTAACAAGTGTTTTAGCCCTCAAGGGACTATTTGGCCAACCAGCTTATTCCTGCTTGAAAAGCAAAATGTTATTGATAGTGTAAAAAACATCAACTTTGAAGCACATGTGATTGATGGACTAGCATTACTCAACATTACTTACTACCTTCCAGCAACACTACATTCAATGAAGGTAAAATAGTAAAAAAAATAAAATAATAATAGTTAATAATAATAATAATAATAATAACAGTTCATTTAAATGGAACCGGAATCAGAACCGGAATCGTTAGGCAAAACTGGAACCGGAATCGGAACCGGAATATTTCTAACGATACCTAACCCTACTCGTGTGATGTGGCTTATCATATGATATAAATATGAGACAAAAACTGATACAGGGGCATTTTTTGCCTGTAGTAAATTTAAGATGATGTACAGGTCTGGGGGCGGGGCCAGTGCGTTAAAATGTTATTTTTTCATAACTAATTAAGTTAACACGTTAATAATATAATAATAATATAATAATGATTATTCATTTTTAATTATGTTTAAAATAGAATATATATATATATATATATATATATATAATTATGACTTTTAATAACTATTTTTAAAGTATACATTATATATTATACAAAATATATAAAAAAAAATAAAGCAATTACCTACAGTTTCATGTGCAGTACGAAATACATATGGACAGCAAATCCTCTCAATTCCAAGCATAATCAAGAAACTGGTTATACTGCAAGTCAGTGATGTTGTGAAAATCAATGAAGTTTGTGTGCAGTTTCTTCTGATCCACCTCATTCAAAAGTATGATTCACTTTCATTCTGTGGATAAGATCAGCCAGAAAATTCAGCTTCAGATGACTCCCTTAATTCCAACAAAATGTTTTGATCAGCTATTGACAACTTGATCGACACCTTCCCTTTGACCATCTTTGGGGCTTTGCCGTAAAACCCAAAGGAACAGATTCTTGCACATTTTCAACACAACTGACTTCAGAAAGCCAGTCAGGATTAGACCCCACGGGCACGATTACGTAATCTCAGAGACCGAACACTCGTTTGACAGCGCTCATGGTAAAATAAGAGGGAATCCATGTAGAAAACCATGTGCGACAGATGTTAATGAGGTGAGGAGGGGAAGTTTGTGTGTGATCTGATGTGATAGAGTGAGAAACATAAACATTTGTGTGTGTGAGTGCTTCTGAGAAGGAACAGATAAGCAGGAACGAGAATACAAACACTGCTTTAGATGGCAAAGTGGCATTTGTATGCAGTGTCACTTGGTGACATGAAGTTTATACAGAGTGAACTGGCACAAATATTAACACAAAAACACTCATCCGACACTTCACAGGCTGCTAGAAGGGCCAAGGGCAATTTTCTTAAGGGGACA